AGGAGGCTCGGGATTTCGCTCGCCGGGTTCTCCCGGGGTCGGACGGGCAGGAACCGGCGGCGATGGAGGCGGTGCTGCGGTGCCTGCGGAACGCGAGCGGCGGGGCGCTGCCTCTCGGCTACAGGTGGGGAGAGGAGCGGACGGGCCGGGGGTGTCCCGGGAGCTCGGCACGGCCGGTTGTGGGAGGGATGGTGTCGAGCAGGGGTATCCACACGCGTTCCTTTGGCCTCGGTGCGCCCCCGCCGTGCTGCGGTGTCATTAAGCATCGTATGTGCCGTGTTTGCGGTCGGTGTGGCGTGTAACCAAAGTGGGTCATCTCGCCGAGAGGCTGCATCCTGCTGGCCCGCTCAGGAGGGTGAAAAACGAGATTCACTTTCTTGTTAAAATTTAAAGGGTTTTAATAAATGACAATAGGGTACATAAAAGCAAAAGGATATGGCACCAGGTGCTTGGCGATCTGCCAGAGGCACACTGGGTATGGATAGGAACCTCTTTAAATACATTCTGTGTTATATCAGCCTAATGCCTATTCATAGACATTTATGCATATTTAAATCTGTCTTGTAACTTTAACATGTATCACCTTTTTAACATTCTTGTTTTATGCTCCTGGGGTCATGTTTGTGTGACTCCTATTCCACAACTTCAGCAGATGGTCCTTGTCGATAGAGAAGTAATTGATTAGGGACTTGTGACCTTTAAGTAATAGTTGATAAATGTAGGTGTTGGATTTTCACACCAGCTGATCTCATTTAAGCCATATTTCTCCTTGTGTATTTCATGACATTTAAACCAGAGTTTGGTTTATACTGAGGAGAATTCATAAAGAGTTGAAGGTACTTGATATTTATCTCCTGTGAGATCAGTGGTCTGTTTGTTAGCAGCATGCTACATCCACAACCAACCACCAAGCTCTGGAGCTCGAGGAGAAACTGTTTCTTCTGAATGTAATAACCATGAGGCAGTGTGAGTTATTCACACATTCTGCTTTATTCTCATTTTTCTTTTTCTTTTTTTCAGCTTCATCTCCATCTCTGACCTACAGCATCAGCAGCGCATACCATGCTGCAGCCACCTGAGCTGGAGCACTAATGAATTTAAGGAATGGTCTCATCAAGGACAAGGTGCTTTACCCATGCAGAGCACTTTGCCAAGGACTTATTTGATCTTGGTTGGTTATTTAACAGATGGAAGGCAAGAAAACGAAGAAAAGTTGGTAGATGGTTGTTTATATGTGAAGGACAAGACTGGGATAATTCCATGTGAGGTATGAGGTTTCTGTGTTCATTCTCACTTCTGGGGCAGTATCACAAACCACCAGGGGCTTCAGTATCACAAACCACCAGGGGCTTCAGGTGTTCTGCCAGAGTCTAGTGAAAAAATAACTCATCTCTGTAGGATGTAGGCAGGAAAACAGCAAAAACTCACATCCTGGGCAGAGGATAGAACTTGTGAAATGTGCCATTGCTAGGAGAAGAAATATTGAATGTACTGGAAAAAAGGGACTGTTAATACAGTTCTGTTAAATTCACCACAGTACAAGGTGGCCTGGAGACCTCCCCTGCTTTGCTGAATTCCATCTGGAGGAGTAGAAGTAACTTTCTGGAGAGCTGTACTGTGTATTCAGTGATGCATTGATGACAAACTTTCAGGAAATAATAGCTTGCATGACAATTCACTTAAAAGCCTCCTGAAGGTCATTGCAAGGGGAGTCAAAATAACAAATAACCCCCAGAGTGATGATAACAGAGCACTGATGTTGTGCTTTTCAAGAAGACAAAGCCTAGAAAAATGTTGTATTGGTAAGAACTTCTAACTAAAAACGCAGTGGCAAAAGAAAGCAAGAATTTTAGAAAAATAGTCTGAAAATAACTAAGCTTTGCAGTGAATTATCAGCTTTCTGTGAGGTTGTCACTATAAGCCAGGAAGTGCTAGCTGTAGAGCTCATCTGGAAGGACAGAAGTTCTCTGTGCAAGGTGAGAGAGTGGACAGAAAACACTGCTCTCATTTAGTAATGAAGCCCAGCCATAGCACAAGAGTTTGTGATGCACATGCAAGGATGTATTAGTAATAAACATTGTAAATAATGCTGGGAAAACATGCTGAAACCCATATCAAGCTTTTATCTCATTATCTTTTAACTTAGCTCCTGCACTTTGAACTGGAGTGGCTGGAGTCACTGTTTGTCTTCCCAAGCTGGTCATATATTCCACAGACAGACCAGAGTGCAGCAGGGTATTTGGAAATCCTGGTGGATCCAGTGCCAATAAATGGCCCCAAGGAAATGCTTCACAACATTCCAATCACCTCCCCAGTGTCAGCTGAGCCACTGCTCACCTCCAGGTAAACATCTGTAATCCTCAACTCCATCACAAACATCTCTGGCTTGGCAGGTAACATGAAGACAAATTCTGTTTCTGCCACAGGTGGAAGCATAGCAGTGAGTGGTGGAGGTAAAAGTTATACAGCAAAGCCTTTCTTTAATCATCTTGGTTCAATCATTGGTTTTCCAGGACTTCATTGGAAATTTTTATTCTGTAATTTGAAAAAAGAATACAAATTTTAAGTATTTCCAGTACTTCATATTACAGAAAGAATATTAGAAGAGTATTGTTTCAACTGTCATTAAGGCTAAAATTAGCACTTTTTTTTTTTTTTTTAGCCTCCAATGAACCAAAAATAGAATTGAAAGTAATCTGATAGTGTATTATGATGTTAATATATGTGTCACTGGTCGAGTTCTTATCAGATTAATGAGATTAAAGTAAAATGCCAACTGATAAAAATAACAATTTTTAAGTTTACAGTAGGTGAAAGTGAGTCAATGGAATTGCAAATCTTACTAAGTTGATATTTTCAAGTTGTGCTATATCATGTTTTATCTTCTTGAGCAGAGAATTCTTGATGTAATTTAATTACAATCAAATGTCACTAATCATGTTCAGTTAGGTTTGTTTTTTTTGTTATCTTATGTTTTTATTTGGTTTATCTGCTTGTAAGAAACTTATTTTAAGCTAAAAAAAAGTGTTTGATTTAGCTCAAGGGACCTTTCTAAACAAGAAAACTATTTCCATATTTCAGTACATGTTCTCAGACTTTTAATATAAATTGTTATTGATTGATACCTGACCAATTTATATGTTACAGTGAGATGCTGGTACTACTGTGGGGTTTTATTAGTGGGGTCTATTAGTGGTTGGGGTTTTTTTAAAGACATAAAGTTAGATATTTGTTTATATGTTTTGGAATCAATGTTTTTGTCTAGAGTAAGTGGGATGGTTTTACCCAGTAGGAGCTGAAATGAAAATTACAAACATAATTTTTTTTAAAATTACTTTTTAAAAAAAGTTTTGAAATGTAGGTTTGAAACAACAAACAGAATTGATTCAAGAAATAGCACCTCTCTTGCCTGTCATCTGCTTTCAGTTTTGCTGCTTTTTCACTCTGTGCCAAGAGTGTTAGAAAGATTCCATTTTACTTTCAGGCCTGTTGTTTATAGGCTTAGAGCTTCCACAATGTCATGTTCCATGGACCTACAAATCCCAGTTCTCTTTTCTGGAAAATAATTTCTGTTTTCTGGAAAATAATTGCTTTTTTTTTTCTTCTCCTTTAGACCTATATATAGCTTCTTGTTTGTGCTAAAACTTTTTATAACCTGGCTGTTGTCATGGAGCATGTGAATTTGTTCAACACAACCCTTCTGTCTTCAAATACTAAAACATCAAAGGGATTTAGTATAGAAAAGTTAAAGTACAAAATTTTGTAGCCAAATAGTGTTTTGAAAAACTCTCTGAGAGATTGACCATATTACCATGTTGGATCCCATATTCCTGGAAAGTGCATGGTACATATTTATTTTGCTTTTGTGATACTTTTGAGCCATTCTTTCATCTCTGATTTCAGTTGCCTCTTCAATTCCCTCTAGGATTCCATGTAAGAGAAGATCAAAGGTTGCTGTAGCAGGAGAATTGACCAGACTGGGGCCTCTCCTTTGTGTTCACCACAAAACATTCTTCTTTGCCTTTCTGAAGTGCTTTTCCTCAGCTGTTTGTGTCCCTGTGCTGGTGCAGGTAAGTCCTTGGAATTTTGCTCACAAATTCACTGTCTGTATCTGTGTATGTGGTAGTTAATCCTTCAAAGCTTGCCCTTGATTTCCCAGTTTGGTTTACTCCTCCTTTTACTAGTGATATCTTTTTATCTAGTTCTGTACCCTGCAGAAAAGCAATCATTCTCCCTCTTGCAGTTGCAGTGTCCCTGAATGTCTGGCAGATACAGCTCTTTGCTAAGAGTGTGAGGCAATCCTCTGGAGGGAAAAGGGGGTTTTGAGTGGGGTTGGAAGAATTTTTTCCACTGAGGTTTATGCTTATGTTGCTTTTGGTTTTTTTCTGCTCTAGAAACCCAGCCAGCTGGTGTGGCATCATGTCTTCCAGCTGGGTCACAGGTACACAATAACAGGYCTGAGTATGTCCAGCCTGAAGAAATCTGGACAAAGGATGTTCATCACCAGTGTTTCTTCCTGCCTTCTGCCCTACTGTGCAGAGCAGGTGAGGGAGCAGCCACTGAACAGTGCTTGGCAAGGAGAATCCACTCAGTCTTCTTCCCTTGAGACTGCTGAGCATCTCAGTGGCTCCTTGGAGCTGGGAGCTGAAGAGGAGAAATCAAGATCAACCAAAGAGTCCAGGATCATCTCCTATGTGGTGAGGATTCATAGGCTTAGCCTTCACCCACTCATGCTCTGGGGTTTCAGCTCCTGACCTCCAAGGACTTATTTTCTTCATGAGTTTATTTTCTTACTGCTCAGGCTTGTGAGTCTCTTATGTTTTGGGACTCTCTACACACCTGTAACTTTCTGTTTGCTTTCTGTTTAGGGATTTGTCACCAAAATACTTAATGTCCAAGCTGGTCTCTTTTTACTGGATAACCAAATCTGCTTGTGCCTTGCTTACCGGCCACTGCTGAACTCTGCACGGGGATTTAGACCAGGAACGTGTGTGGAGGTAAGCTGAGACTTGCAAATCATGAAATATTCAGTGGAAAAGGCTCAGGCCCTGGGAATGGCTCATGAGTGTGTGGGTCAACGAAGGCTACAGGAACATTGGAATTATTTCAGCAAGTATCTAGAAGAAACAGGAGATCTTACTGCATAGGTTTAGTCAGAGAGTTGATATGATTATTATCTGATTCCTCCTAAACTCTGCTAGCTGCCTCAGGCCTGATTATAGATAATCCAGCTGAGTGAGAAAGGATTTAGGGTGGGGTGATGGTTTTGGGGAGTGGTGGCAGCCTGGCTATCCCTTCTCTTACATTGTATGTTGTGTATCTCAGCTCACTGATGTCCACCTCCTGCAGAAGCCTCTGGTGTCCTTCCCTTTCACTGTGCTCGCTGCTTGCCTGAGCAGCACCGTTGTGCTGAAGAGTTTTTCAAGGCTCAGCACCCCCTTCCAGCCACTGAACTCTTCAGGAAATCTCTGCTTACAGCTGCTCTTCCGCTTCAGCCTTGGAATGCCACTGTACCTGTGGCTGGTGAGCCTCCTGGAGATGTTTGAGGAGAGGTGAGGACAACCCTTCTGAAGTCAGGCTATGCCCTAATGTGCTTTGTAGGGTACCTTCTAGAACAAGGGATCACTAAATTCCTGTGCTTAGATACCATTAGCAGCAATTGCTTTTGGTTTTTTGACCTAAGTAAACCATTCATCCAGATTCCACATCATGTCCAGTTGTTTGTTACCTTGCAGTTGCCCTTATGAGAAAATCCTGTGGATTTTTCAAACACAGGTGAGGTAAAGCTCTTGGGAAGCTGCAGAACATTGTGCTCAAATAATCCTGCCTGAAATGTTTTGTCCTGAAATACAGAAGCACCATAGGGACATTTGCCTGCCAGTGTGGTTTACTGGGCAGATCAAGGTGAGCACTGAGGCTGAAGCCAGAAAGTGCTGCTACAACTAGATTGCAACTAGTTGCAGACTAGATGCAAAGGCTTTTGTGTCCTGACTGCTCACAGAAGCAGCAGCAGCTGTTCAGCATATCACTGAGATATTCTGAGTGTTGCCAGGAGTGTGATCATTTGAGAGCTTCTGTCTTGGCAAATTTTCCCATGCATGCTTACCTTTGAGTCTTCCAGATGGCTTCTTGCTCTTCCTGACTCTGCATTCTGTTCTCAGGACAGCTGTGGGCCAGTTTCTGTCTTTATTTCTAGTTTCTGTTAGTGAAAATATTTGTTTGCTCTGGAGCAGTTATGGTTAGTCATTGTAACTGCTGCCTTGGAATTCAAAATACATGCATTTCAATCTCAGTCAGGTAACAGTTTATAGAATGCTTGGTGTTCCTGTGCTTTGCTGGCACTGTAGAATTTTGCCCATACTTTCCAATAAAACAGTTTCAGTTTTGCCCTGGGAATTATGCTAGCTATAAGTTTCAGGTTTTATAATATTTTTCATTTTCTTTAAATGTGATTGCTAAGTCCTGCTACTGCTTTAAAAATTGGTCCAGTGAGTTAGTTGTTATCTCTTTTCATTTGAGTTCACTTTCTGTTATTAAGCCATATTTTTTGCTGGCAGTGTGATCACTTCTAGGCATTCAAAAACAGTAAACTAAACTTCCAGCATTAATTTTACATGAGGAAAATATTGATACAAGAGTAGACTGGTTATTGCTGCCTTTATTTCTGTGATTTTTTTTGCATTCTGTGAAAGCAAGCCAAGTGTACCTAACATGAGTAATCATATAAAGCCTTGCCAAAATGTGTTTGGATCCATTTGTGGGACTTAAAGGGAGATTATTTTCATGTGGTTTGTTTTTTTTTGGCCACTTGAGTTTGAAGATTTTGCCAGTTTATCCATTTCTGTGTATTTTCCCATTTYTTGTCTGCCATCATAAATCTGCATCAGCCTTAAATGTTCTATTCTTTTATCACTTCATGTTTTTGTGATCTCCTTAGTTCTTGTCTTTCACAACATATTGACTCATGATAAACTGAATGAATCCATGACTTAGATGCAAGATTCACTAACATGCAAGGACTGCTTTTAATGGTCAGCATTTTTTTTCAGATTTTCTTGTTTCTTTGGGTGCCTTCGACTGCTTAATTCTAARCACCGAAACTCTGGAGCTGCTGAAAAGTTCCTTGTTCCCCTTCTGCAAGCTATGGTGCCAGACAGAGAGGAAGCAAGAGATATTTATAATGAAATTCTAGCAAAAACACACCAGTGTCCCCTGCAGAAAGTGAGTAAATGTTCTGGGAGCTCTTTCCTGTTTGTCTGATAGGGAGAAACTCATCTGATTTGTTCTTTCTCTCTTTTGTTGGTAGTATTTGCCTCTGAACCCTCCATGCCAGGTGCCATCTCTGGCTGTAGTGTGTCGTGTGGCAGAACAGAAGAGCTGGGAAGGTTTCAGTCCATCCCAGTTGCTTTCACCCTCAGAGGCACAGCACATGGGCACCCAGGAGCTGAATCGTAGACTGGCCTGGTCCTACTGCACACTCTCAGCTGGAAGTTTCCAGCCCCAAMTGGTAAATGCCTTGTTCCCTTTCCTGTCTGTGCCTTCCTGTCCAGTGCATATCTGTTTCTCCCATTAGGGAATGACACWGCTTTTCTCACTGTGGTGTGAAAACACTTTGATTTATGGCTTTCAAAGATAGGAATTGTTGATGCTCTTTGCAGCTTCCTTTGTGTTGTAGATACTTCTGGGTGTGCTGAGGGTCTCCTCCAGGAGCAGTACCCTCCAGTTGCAGGACAAGAGCAGCACTCTTCCCTGTGTGATCTCCCATAAGGATGGCAGCCCCTTTGCCCAGACATCTCTCATAGGTATGTCCCACTAAATTGTATTTGGGTGCTGAGCTTTTGCTCTTCTGCCTTCCAGCTCCAAAACAAGGAAGAAGAGAGATGGTGTGGAGGTGCTGAACTGTCACTSCCTGACCTYGTGACTTTAAAATGAGGATRTTGACCTTACTGGTTTTATGTTCTMTTTTTATTTAGCTGARCTCTTTTCTCTGATGCATTTGCAGGATCACTCTTGCAGGTGAAGAACTACCAGCTTGTAGTAGAGAGATTCCTTAAGACTGATTTTCCCTCCTGGGAGCACCTGGAAAATCAGGAGCATGTGAGAGAGAAAAAAACTAGGTGAGTCCCTTTATTCAATGTGCAGGTAAAATCATCACTTTCCAGTTCCATGAGTGTTTTGGACTGTGGTAAGGCTTCTTCTCAACATAGCATTTTAGTGCCAAAGCAACTGTACTTTGCTATTTGCATAAAATGAGCTCTTTCTCAGCAACAAACCACCATCTCCATTTTGTTCAGAATATATACAGCCTCAGAGCTGCCCTCCACTCTTTCCCACTGCTCCTGCTGAATACCAGAAGTGCTTTTCCCAGAGAAGCAGTTGATTTATTTTGGACAGCCACTTGTCAGAAATGGAGTTTCACTGTTACCATTTGTCATTTCAGCATCTATGTGCAGTTCTACTTTGAGGATGTTCAGGTTCTCCATGCAGCTGAAGGACAAATCCAGAAAGGCCTTAGGAGTGGAAACAGCTCCTCTTTGAGGAAGAAGAAAGATGGCAACGTAACATCYGAGCTGGAAACCCCAGAGGCAAAAATGCTGAAATTGGAGGATCCCAAGGCAGATAWTGGCAGAGATGAGGACTGTCAGAGCAGTAGCAGAACAATGAGCTGTGTGTCTCAGCTTTTCTTGGTGACCCAGAAAGAGGGTCTCATGCTGCGCAATTACCAGCTGTCTGGAGAAGAAGCTAAAGAAACACAGGAGAGGCAGTGCAGCTTCCAAGCCACAGTGCTGTGGCTGGGCAAACCACGGCTCTGGAGCCACCCTAGAGAAACTGGGAATCTGCCAGAGCTGGAGGAGACGGGCCCTGATGGAGAGGAGGGCATGACACAGCAAGAAGTGAGGCATCTTTGGGGTGTGGTGTGATAAATCTGGGAGCTGGCTCCTCAGGGAGCCTATGTGGTAATGTAGTATCGATGCAAAAGTGATTTTTGGGTTGGGTACAGTTGTGTGTTTGTGCTGGCAAATTCCTTCTTACACCCCAGGCAAGTTCCATCTCCTCTCTGTCACCTTCCTGTAAGTGCATCTGCCTTCTCTTAGTGATGCTAACCTTACTTTATCAAGACATCCTCTGGGCTGGGCTTGCTCTCTTTCTGCTATATTTTTCACTCCATACCTTTTTTCCTAACACTTCTCATCACCTCTCTCTCTCTCCTCCTTTCCCCCACCAGGCACTGCTGCTGTTTATGGGAAAGTCTCTTCGATGGTTTCCATTCCTGCACGTGGATGGATTGTATCGTTTCCTTGTGCCCTGCTGCTCAGTAAGAGAGAAGTTATTCTTGCTGTTCCCTCTTGGAGACTTTTGTTGAACTGCATGTGGGAGTCAAGGAGTCAGAGGGTGACTAAGCTGTTTTCAAGGCTTGGAATTTCCTTCTGTCTTGCCAAGAAATGGCTTTAGTTCTGTATTTGATTAAAATTCTCAGAGCTCTGAGTTCAATGGATTTTTTTTTTTTTTGTTTTGTAAACCACTGTTCTTAATTTTTTCCTATGTAATTTGAATCTCCTTCCTTCTAGTAATTTTGCCTTATCACTCTTATCTCAGGACTTGGAAGTGTTTAACAAGCTCTGTTTTCCACCTATGCCAACAACATTCCTGAGCAGGTCATCGTGCCCTCTGTGCCTGCCTGTCCAAGACAACTGGCACTTAGAGCATGAGACATGGATCTCTTGTCTGCCTGAACACCAGGTATGCAGTGCCTAATTACTCAAGGCTTTCACAGGCTACTTGTAGATCTCTCTAGAATGCTAGAAAATAATCAGGGCAGAGTGTCTTGTTGATGAGACAGTTTTGCTCTAAGCTCCCTCAGAGACTGCTGCTGGGCTTCACATTTTCCTGCTTCAGAGATCATCTGGAGAGGAAATATGAGTTGTTGACCTCTGAGCATGCAGAGCTTGTCTTTTCTGCTCTGGCTGGGGATTCTGTAAACTGCAACCCATCTGAGGCCATGTCTCCCTCACTTCTAGCTGAAAGTCATGTCAGTACTGACAGGCGTGGACCAAAGAATTTCCTCCATTCCAGAAGTGCTTAGCAGCAGGTATGTTGGTCTGCCCCAAATTACAAATGACTGTGTTTTAGGGAATGGGTCTGTGTTATTTTTTATTGGGAACAGTGCTATATTAAACTGCAATGAAATATCCACCCTAGGAACATGGTTTGGAAGTTTACCTGTGTGCAAGTAGTCCAGACTTCTCCCATCCTGGTTATCCAAGCTAAAGAGATTGTAGGTGACCAGAAAATGGTTAGACTAGGTCCCAAAGGTGTCTGTCAAATTCCTCTCAGAAGTGGAAACAARCACAGCAGGGAAAATGAGACTGAATGTATGCTAATTTTTGCTGGTTTTAGATGGTTTTAGCATACCTTGCTCAAACAAATACTAAGGCTGGAAGATTTTCTGTTCAAAGCATGTTTAATCTGGGATGGTATGCATGGAATATATACTGGAATTTTCAACAGTGCCTTATGATAAACTGTGGGTTTTTTCTTGGCTTCTTTCTTCAGATCAGAAAARCAATTAGGAGTTTTGCAGGTAGAAAGGCTTTAATGCCTCACCCTTCTTCTCTTGTGACCCTGAAAAAGCAGAAAGCAAGTTAAAGGGCCTCTTGTCCCTGGGAGAGGTAGGCTGCAGCAAGCTGCCCTCAATCCAGTAGCTCAGGAGCTCAAGGGCATGTTSCCCAGAAATTTGGCTTAAGCAACARTGATCAACTTCATGGCAATCTTGAWATCAGGCATTCTTCCATTTCCYTTGTCTTCAGGTAGAACAAAAATSCTGSTCTGCTCTCAGTTTGACAGGTTCCCTCGTTTCTTTCTGTGGTGAGATTGTGGAGAGAACCTTGTGTGCCTCTCCCAAGAATGAGAAGCCACCTGTGACCASTGGCCTTCCAAAGCAGAAAGGTAAGATTGTGGCAGCCTGTTGAAAAGCAACAGGTTGGGTTTTGCTTCTTTCTGTTTCAGAGAGCCAATGTACTTGGCTAACTGTGCTGCTGTGTTTGGGAATAGGGGAAAAATGCCAGAATGTTGCWTCCTGTTGCATGTCAAAGGGCAAGGAAGATGGGAATGGAGATGGAGATGGGAATGGGAATGCAGTACCTGGAAAATCTGGGATGTGGAACATTGTGATGGAGGAAAAACCTCTCTAGCAGGCTCATCTCAGTACCTGTGTGAGTGAGCTCATGGTCTGTGTGGTTCTGTGTCTCCTCAGGGCCTCTGCTCTCCAGGGATCACAGTGTGAAGCTCAGTGTCTCAGCTGCYCCAGGCTCCCTTGTTGTGATGGACATTTACATTACTGCCAGCTACCTGCAGCATCTCTGGGGTTTGCTGCCTGGAGCCAAGGTCCTCTTCCAGAACTTGGAACGCAAGATCTCAAGGTGCTCCTGTCTTTAGAACCCTGATTGTGTCTCTGATCTCTCTTACTGGCTTTGAAACCATCTCTTAATCTGACCYCCCCATGTGGACTTTCACCTTCATSTCTCCCAATCCCTTACCATAAATTATTGTCCTACCATGTTACAAATGAAGATCAGCCCAAGAGATTGAGCATTTGGGTTCTGCAAGCTCTTTCTGACATCTGCTCCTCCCTGTTGCAGATTCCATAATGTTTATTGCACATACATTGCCTCCAGCTGTGTGAGCATCGTATCTCTGCCAGTGTCTCACCTACCTTTTCCTTCTAGGTAAGTTTTGGCTGTGTTCTCATCTTACAGTGTCCCAAGAAAGGTTTCTATGTTCCAAGTTTCTCAAATTCCTATTTTTTCTAGCCTTGCAGGAGAAGCCTCATCCCCCTCACTAGTGTTTCTATCCAGCTTGACACCTCAGCTGCAAAAGCTGTCCCAGGCCCGGATTTTATGCCACTTGTCCTGTGTACTGACTGTGTGCCTGCAGTGGGTTTGCTCACTTTGCAGCTGCATCTTCAAAGAGGTATTCAAGCTTCCACAAACATAATCTCTGAGAGGTCTTGCACWTATTTTACTCTGACACATCCTTGGCTACYRTGTAGAAGAAACTCTCTGCCATGTAGAGAGTTCCTATCTCAATTGCAAATCCTCTTTTCCAGAGTTTGAGAAGGACTTGCATATTCGAGGGGGATCAAAGGGATAACTGATTAGAAATATGTATGTGATGCCAGACAAGCTGGCAGATAGGACTGGGGGTGAAGTGAGGACATGGAAGAGGATAATCCTACTCTATTAATGCTCTGCTCTTCCCATTGTTCACTGCTTTGGGGATCAGCACTTTGCAGCAGGTGATTTTTGTCCCCATATAAACTTCCCAACACACTCACTGGAAATGGAGTGAAATTCTTTAAACCTTTGGATACCTAATTAGGGAAGGGTTGAAAAAAGGCAGTGGCCCTTCCTCTTCTCTCTTATAGCAGCCATCCATAGCTGTRGCTTTATTCTTCCATCAGGGGAGGTGCACACGATACAATCCTCCGTGTCCATCAAACACAGGAGTGAGGCAAGCCAGTGCACGGTAAGTGCTGTAGGGATTTGGTGTGGGAAGAGGTGGGACAGAACAAATTACACCACAAACAGSAGGGGGAAAATCAGTTCAAGGATTGGATGTGGAGAGAACAGCAAAGATAAAGTTACCACATCTTCAAATGTGAGCCTTTTGAGGGAACCAGGCATTGCCCTGCCCTCCCTCTGATCCYACCTGCCTGTTCCCTGCACAGGGTGCTGGTGGAGGATGGAACAGGTGAAGCTGTGGTGCTGTGCAGAAATGAACACGTGGCAGCAGTGCTGGGACTGAACCCTCTGGAGTGGGAAGCTGTGCAGAACTGTGTGCAGAGCAGGGGCAGTGTGTACATTCAGCACGGGGAAGCTCCTGGCACAGGGGTGAGTGAGTTATTCAAGGAGCATTGCAGTGTGCTGGGCTCCAGTCTCTGCTGGACAGGATTTCCCTTTCCTCCCTGCCTTGCTCTGAACACTCCCTAGCAACACACTCTTCCYTTCCTCAGTGTCTAGAGGAACCTGAGGATCTCGTGGCTTCCTACCTAAGGAGTTTGTGCAGAAGCCCTCTCATCTGTCGCCCTATCCTGCTGGATTTCAGCCTGGACAGGAAACCCTCCAAGATCCTGCAACCTGGTGAGCAAGCACTGCTGGCTTTTCTGATAATTAGTGTGGGAAGGAAGGAGGGAAGGAGGCATCTCAGCAGGCTGGGGAAGGAGAGCTGCCTTCACTGCGCACAAAGCAAGATATTTGAAGGATTTCCCTGGAATTAGGAATTCTGTAGTGTAGAACTAAAATGTATCTTAGCAGATTTATCATCACAAAAATAGAGAAATAATATTATGGAAGTCACTAAAACAATATACAATAATTTTTCTACTTCCCACAGAAACATAGAGCTGTTTTTGAGAAAGATCTGATCAGCCAGAATTATTGTGCAGACCTCTCAAATCAAGTGGGTTTTCACTGTAGACACAGCATGTAAGGGTCAATACTAGGCCTGAAAATCCTCACCTAGAAATCAGCACTGAAGTGGTTTGAATTCATGAGTGCTAAGGTCTGAGCTCATGCTGCCACAACTGTGCAGTTGCTGTGTTAAGGGAACATTCTTCACACTGTTTGCACAAATACCTAGTGCTTAACTTTGAGTCCAGGTGCTGCAGGGGTTGATTTGCTAAGATCACCAGAGGATCAGTGAGATGTGGAGACATCTTTTTGGCTGCTGTGTACACTGTAAAGGCAGGTTGCTGGTGCTGATAGAGGATACAAAGTTCAGTGCATCAGCTCTGTGAGCAGCACGTGGTTCACAGCATTTCACAGTGTAGAATTCCGTTTCCTCTAATCTGGAGAGATGCTGGTGGAATGCATTCATCTGCCTCCATCCTGGAATCATTCCTCMTGCTGTGCTTTGAGGTTTAGTAGATGCCAAGTGGCTGCTGCAAGGCCTTCCCTCCCCCTCAACCTCAGCAGCTGTTTGCTGGAGCACAGACAGTTATTTCCAGTTTTATCTTTCCCCTGCAGCTCCTCTGCAGCTGCGCAATTTTCGCTGTGGTGAAGTGGAGTTYGTGTCACAAGTGGGACCTCGTCCAATTCTGCTGTGCCTGAACATAAAGGAAGTGGAACAAGATGCTTTATGCTACCTGAACAGCCAGAGGATGAGGACAGCATCCAGTTCCTGCTGAGTGGGAGCCACTGCTTAATATCTCTCCCAGTGGGAGAGGAATTTTGGAAATACCGACTGGAATCAGGAGCTTTTTTTATCTCCTTTCCAGTGGGAGCATAAGCCTGTGAGCACAGGGTGAAGTCAAGAAGCTGCTGTGACTTTTGGAACTCCTGAATGGTCACTTTGAGTCATTGTCACCCAGTGACACTGGGCTATATATGGGAAGAGAGATGTTCAGTGTTTCTGTGTGACAGCTGTTGCCTTGGGCCTAGGGGCACACAATGTGTGCATTTTGTAGTAATATCTACTAAATAAAGCTATCTAATTTTGTGGTAATATCTACTAAATAAAGCTATTAAAATATTACCTAAGGAACACTGTATCTGTTTTAGTATCTATTTTAATATTAAGGTTTATTTGCTATATGGAGACCATTAACAAAACTATACAGTTCCCATAGGGTATGGTATTCTTAACCTAATTGAAATAATTAAAATTACACTTTTAAGGCATTTCCTTCAAGAAGAGAAGGGAAGTGAATTAAATTGCTGTCTGAAGACTAAATCACAATACTAAATGACAAGATTATTTGGGCATTGTTTTACAGTTTATAAACAGCAGCCTGAACATTAAGTGGGGCTTGTAAGAAGAGGCAGGCACTGAGCTGTGACAGGCACTGGGTTTATTGAGCATGAATGAATTATGTTCCCTCTCAAGGTCTGCTGTCCCCTTCTGAGATCAAAGTGTGAGTGAAACAAGATGGTACCACACAAAAAAAGTTCTGAGACTCCATCCTAAAAGGTTGCCAAAATAATTTAAAGCAGAGGTCTCTGCAAGTTTTGCTGTGACAGCCTTATTTTCTTTCTGCAGATGCTTTCTGCAAAACAGTAAAATTTTACTTGAGTTTACTCTCCACCCTTCAAAAAGAGAACAAAACAACCCCAAAATAAAAATAAACTATCTCAACCTGAGGAAAATGTTGACTATAAGTGATAAGACAAAGAGATCAAATCTGATTAAAAAGTGCAACTGAAAGTAGTCATGTAATATGAATAAGACAGTAACAGACAGTCATAGAGAAATAGAGTGGAAGTGCCAGATAATACTTAAAAAAAAAAGGAAAATTTGTCTCTGTTATTACATCTGGGTTTAATAACTTTGCTTCTGAATTTGAACTTCCCAGAAGTATCTCCCTAGTCTCCTTTTCCTCCTCATTTGTATGTTATTTTTGTGTCTGCTACCTACTCATCTGTTCCTCTTTTATTTCACATTACAAATGCAATCATCAGCCCTCTTACAGGACTGTAAGGAAGTAGTTTGCCTTTGCCAGAATATTCCAAGGCTGGTAGCARTTTTCTAATCCATTTTCTGCCACTTACATATTTTTCAGAGAGTTTCATTATAGAATTCCAAGAAGATGGAAGAGATTAACTGTCTCTCTTTTAGTTTTAATAAAATTTAGTTTTATTAGTACAGTCAGAATCACAAGCCAAGAAATGGGTGAATCAAATCTGTATGGGAGGAGTTAAGATTTGTTTGCTTTTAGTGCTCTGAAGGAGCAGTTCTCAGCTGTATTGCGGGAAACCCTTTTCCTGTTTGTGTCTGAACTTCTGCCCATGACCAGAGCTCTGGTCAGTGTGTTAAATCAGACAAGGAAAGATTCCAAGCTTACCTCCAGCTCCAGCAGAGTTTCCAATTGCTTTATAGAGAGCTTATATTGACAGCAGATACAGGGGAAGCAGAAGCATCCAGTGACAGGCTGGAAAGGAGGATGACACTGATTCTGCATTCAAGTTCACCAGCTCTAAGTTGGTCACCTTTGTAATGCTGAAATCTGTAGCAGAAGAGCAGTGAGAGATTACCACAAAAGAAAYACAGCAGGGAAGGCAAATAAAGTGTGTGTATTTATTCCTTCCCATTTTTCTGAATAGGGGTAAAGATAGATCTTGCCTGTTTTACTAGAGACCCACTGCAATGAAGCATCACTCTAGAGAGTTATGACCATCCTCATGCTCAAAAGAAGATAGGGTCTTTGGAAAGTTTGATTTTCTGTGAGTAAAATCACTTTTTAAATAAAGGGACTGGGCTGGAGTCAAAAATATTGTCATTTGTAACAGCTAAAGAGGCCTGGTGGTTTGGTACACGAATAGGATCTAAGCTCAACTGGCTAAAGGGTCAAAATCAGGGGGTTTGGTTCATTTTGGTTGGTTGACTGGTTTAGTTTTGGTTRACATTCCAAGCAATGCACTCTTTTGAAGTGTGTCCCCTGGCAGTTCTGTCCCCATGAGGGAGCAATAATTACCATGAGAAGCACATGGGACAGCAGGACTGAACACAAACCTTTCCCTCATCCCAGGGACAGCGAGAGAAGTGGTTGGATTAATCATGCTTTCAGTTGGATTAATCATGCTTTCAGTCCTTCCTTGAGTGGCACAAGTGCTGCAGGAACCCCCAGTGCACTGTTTAAATCTCCTTTTCCCCCATGCCTGTGCTCTCTGGGTGGTGTTGATCCCTACCTGTCACTCTGATGTTGCCTGTAGCCCTGGCAATGCTGTTTTCAATCACACAAGTGTAGGTGGTGTTAGCAGTGACATTGTGCAGGAAGGAAAGCACTCTCACAGTGATGTTTTCAGGGTTCAGCTGGTAGCTGGTGTTGGCAGCATGGGGCAGAGGGTCCTCAGTGTCACCAAGAGCTGTCCAGTGCACAGCAGGACGAGGGAACCAACGTGGGGCTTCACACTGCAGAGTGTCCCCATGGCTGCTGCTCTGCACCTGCACCACGGGGATGCTGAAAGCTTGGAAGGGAAAACAGAGAGTTAAAACAAAGAACTGGGTGTGAAATAGCCAACTGCATCTACCAGTCCCAAATTTCTATTTCTAGGCTGCTCACTGTTTAGCATTGAAGCTCTGCCTGTAGCCAAACCCAAAAAAGGCTCAGACAGAGAGGTCTGTGCAGGTTGGGCATGGCAGGACAACCAGAGGGGATCTAAAGACTCCTAGGACATGGCAGACCAGCAACTGCTGAGGTTGTGGCACAGCTTTAGTGTCTTTAAGTTATTCTTAATAATGGGGGAAAGATGATGAATCCTCTCAGTAAGAAGYGTGTCTGACCAACATCTAATTGTARGTGTTGCAGAATYATTAAAGGTGGAAGTGACCTTTAAGATTAAGTCCAACTATTAACCAGCGTTAAGTCCACACTAAGCCATAACTATAAATGCACATATTTAAAATCTCTAGTAGGTGACTTCACCCTGTTCCAGGGCTTCATAACACTTTCTGTGCACAAATTTTTCTTAATATTAAATCAAAACTTGCCCTGATGCAACTTGAGGCCATTTYCTCTCCTGAGCAATCCCTCACAGACCTAGAATAAGGAGGGCTGTACACAGCCAAAGCACAGATACCTGCCTTTGTATTCATCAGCTTTGGTTTTGGGTAGTAGGACCTAGAAGTGAACTGGTGAAAGGGAGAGCTAAAGAAAATCAGCTGRAAGATCCCTATCTTTCCCCACAGAACAGTTATTACAGCTATGTTGGAAATAAAGCCTGCTACAGCATTTTACGTGTTCTTTCTAATGCCTTTTCTGTGTGGATTACTTTAAATATGCTACAATTTTTACTATGCAGCCCTTTTTCTGGCTGGAGATATATCTTAATTCTAGAAATAGAAAAAATAGAAAAAACTACCATGTTATCTTTAACAAGTGTAAAATCTGACTCTTTATAAGATCAATTAGCTACTCCCATTTTTAGGAGGTATTTGYAGTCAGTTACATAGCTGGTAGACTACTTGTGATAAATAGATGAAAACAAGAATGTCAAAAGAGTGAGTAAGGCMATAAATACTCTTTAAAAGCCAGAAAAATATACCCTACCCAGGGGTGCAGGGTGTGGTAGTGGCTGCTGGAGGAGCAATGCTGCAGGCAGATCCAACCAAGCTACCTTAGCACACATTTTGCAGCAGGATTTTGTTCTTTGTAGCCCTCACCTCCTGTCCTGTAGTGCAGCACTGCTGCCCCACTCCCTCTGGCTGTGGTGACAGAGCACTGGTAGGTGCCAGCATCGGAGAGCTGCACATCCTTCAGCTCCAGGGAAGCATTTCCACCCATCACCTGCTCTGCAAACACGGCTGTGCGGCCCTGGAATGATGGATCTTGCTCTTGCAGGTGGTCCTTGCCACCTCTAAACTCATGAACCAGCCCAGCTACTCCCTCCTTGGCCCACTGGATCACTGTGCTGTCCATCTGGATGTCGGGTACAAAAGTGCAGCCCAGGATGCTGCGCTGGCCGATGTTCCCCAGGGATGTCAGTGCTGTCACACTGATGGAGTGTTTGCCTGCAAGGAGAGAGAAAGGAGGCTGGAGAAAGGTGAGGCAGCAAGAGTGGAGAAAGGCCAGACTGCTTTGTGGTTGTCATGGACCAAACCTGAGGCTGAACAACCCCAGGCACATGGCAAGGACACCAGGGGCTGCTACCAGTGCTGGTAGCAGAAGTCAGCTCCTGTGGTTTATGTGCCAAGAAAAAGCACAGGAGTATTTCTTTAGCAGCAGAGTGCTTAAAAAAGTAGCTCTTCTTACTTGTTTGAGAAGAATTTGCACAGTATTTCCTTATTTATAATTATCAGGTATTTTTCTCTTTGCAGCTGCCAGAAGTGCATGGTTTTTGTGTCTTTTCTTAGTCAGGGCCTCCCTTTATCCAATATAAATGTGACTGGAAGGTATAATGCTGGCAGAGAAATAGCAACTCCTTCCCTGTTACTGAAATCCAAACCTTTTTCTTTCGTTTARGAAAAGTCAGCATTTTAAATCCTAGGCTGCCAGAACTGCCAGAGCCAGGTCCTCTTTCCCATGCAGCCCTTCATTACTCATCCTCACTCAGCACATTCCAAGGAGGCTGCCAAAGCCATACATTTTTGTTATCTCTGAGGGAACTGGGGAATGTGCCCCATGCTGGCAGATGCTCTCTGATTTCACAATAAATACCATCCTATCTAGGAGAAGGAGCACAGTGTGTGCAAGACTTTCTATATTGTAGATTTGGGGTKCCAAGCCCAAGGAAATTTCAGTTCTGCCACTACAGTTCTGGCAGCATAGGCTGCACTACATGTGCCAAATCTTGGTTAAAGGGTGGCACTTCCACACATGATCCAGGATGGACACATGGAGGTAGAGGCAGGGCAGAAATTCATCACTGCAGCAGTAAAAGCAAGAAATGTGAGCGGTCACATACCTGAGACACCAAAACCAATGATCAGGGCAATCACTGCAGCCAGGATGATAATGACTGTAGTCATGCTGTTGGGAGAAAAAGGAAAGGACAGCATTAGTGCAGAGCTCACTTCCTTCACACCCCGCCCCTATATTGGCCATCTGCAGAGTCAGGAGCAGAAAGGAGGTCGAGACASGTGAACCACTGACCCAGAATGAGGTGGATGGGTGAAAAACATGACCACAGCCATGATGAACATTCATGTGAGCAGCTCATCATCAACACTGAGGGACTGGTGACAGGAGAGCCAGGCTTTTTCCCAGTGGAAGATGCTCCTCTCTGCATTCCCTGGTGCATAAGCCAGGCAGTGAGCAGAGCAGACAGACCCCTGACTCCAGGAGACACCAGGTACAAAGCAGGGAATGGGCAGGAGGGGTCTGGAAACACTTCTTTTAGCTGGCTGGATTTGGGATGCTCCTATGGAGATGGGTGATGGGCTGTTGAATGAGAGACTGAGGAGCAGAGAACCACTTGCCAAGGCACAAGCCATGCCAGAGGAGAAGGAGGGCAGCACATCATGGATCAGCACAGCCTTGCCAAGCACAGCCCAGCTCAGACAGACCCAGAAGCACAGTTGGGTACAATGGAGCTGTCATGTGGTCACAAACACATTTTCCTGTGGACTGAGGGMTTGTGGCAGCAAACTCAGCTCCCAGCCAGAGCAAACCCTGAAGCAGCTCCCCACAAAACCCACAGSTACATCCCGTGGTGAGCAGCTCATGATGGTGCCCAGCAGTGTCACAGACACTCCTGGCAGGCTGTCAGGGGTCACAGCCYTTGTGCCCACACAAAAACAGCTGCTCTGCTCCAGAGAGCAGCATTTGCTGGTTTGTGGCACACTTTCCCAAAACACTGAGGAGCCTCCCATGGGAGAGGCCACCAGCTTTCCTCCAACCACAGACTCCACTGATGTGCACCTGCATGGTGACTCGTACAACCTTGTACAACCACTCCTCAATTTCTACAGATGCCACGATCACAGGGCTGATATGGAGCTCTAGGGAACTGCATCATGAGAACAAGCCTGTCCTGCAGGGAGCAGCAGGGAAGGGAGACAGGGAAGATGGGCTGAAAGAGAAAATAGAGCAAAGGGGAGATGAGCAGATTTGTTTCCCCCCCCCCACTGTCCACCTTCCATCCTCATTCWTAAAGCCAGTTGGAAGTTGTCTGAGGAAGCCCTGYTTGCACAYRAACTGTGKATTTCACCAAAATATGTGSTAAGTCCACAGGGTTCACATAAATYCATATGTACATCCACATCYATACCAAGCTCTGCCYAGATGCCYTCAGAGCMRGGAGATGTCATRTTTGGCTTCYTCCCTGTTGTCACCAGCTTTCCCTCATGGCCAGGAAGGACAGAAATTCTCYCTCTACTTCCTTCCTCTCCCTGCTGTGGTCACATCTGTCCCTACTGGGATGAAAACCATGGATATCATCCAGACATGGACACCAGGCAGYGAGGGACCCATCACCAGCCACTGCCTGTCCCAGAGATGAGGGCTTTATTGGCTGCTGTGAATCTGCAGCATGACAGTTCCCAACAAAATCCTGCCATGTCCCATGGGGTTCAACCCCAGGTCACTCGAGGTCCCAGCCAGGCTCACCGTGGGACAGCCAGTGCTTTCCTCTTCTGGGGAAGATGCCAAGTGCCTCATGTACACCCAGAAACATCCATCTCCCAACAATTTCCAGTCTGGGAGCTGATCCCAGAGCAAGATAGTTGCTATAAACTCAGCCAAGGTTGTCATGATCAGACTCAGCTCTCACGCCTGGGAAGCAAAATGCAAGCAGCAATCACKCTGTGCTGTCACACAGCARATGTGACTCACCTTTATCCCTATATCTTAAAATCCTTCTTCCCAATGACAGGCAGGAGAGAAATTGCTCAGAACCAAGGGATGCTGCCAGAGGGTTACAGGGGATTTCATCAGTAAATGCTGGGGGATATGGCAGGGGGACAAGCAGCCAGGATGTCCCCCTGTGCAGTCCCTGAATGCTTCAAATGCCACCACGTTTGCCTCTGGTTCTGGAGAGGATCCTGTGGCCTGGAGAGGATCCTCTGCCCTTACACTCTTCTGTACAAAATCATCCTCATCTTACTGACAAACACAAACCAGCACAAACAGGCCACACCAATCTTTTGTCCTATGCTGGTGCCATCTGCCCACCCAGCCTTGCTAGCTTTGCACCCAGGAGCTGCTACCCACCCCTACTCCAAGGCAGCAGCAGGGTGGATTGAAAAAAAGCTGCTCATTTGTCACAGGGGGAATGGCAATTATGGATATACAGATGCCACTGCCCATTTCAACATCCCTTGCTGAGAAAAGGAGAAATTATTGCCTCTGGAGTTTCCTCTGCAGAAACTGCAAGATCCAGGAATCAGAAGAGCCTTGCAAAGATTTCCCTGTGAGCCCAATGTGTGCAATGAGCAGATCTGGAGCACGGACTGAACAAGACAAACCTGGCATCCCAGCCACATGCTGGTGGTAGCTGTGTTTTGCAGCAGCCCAGACCAAGCAGTCCAAGCAAAAAGCAATTTTCTGTGCATCAGTACCCCAGGTACCCCCAGTGTTTCCAGGGCATGGGAACAGACTGATGCAGGTGGCTGAGGCTGCAAAAATCAGAGCCCTGACCCCACTTCTGTCCTCAGGGCCAATTTGGCAGCCTGTGGGATACTCTTCTAGGTATCCTACCATCTTTTCCATGGTCTTGTTCCTCATCAGCCAAACYTGGAATCAAATTTGGCATCAAATTCATTCATTCATTTGCTGTCTGAATGTTGCAGAGCTCAGCCTGAGGACAGGGAGAGGCTCACAGCCCAGTTATGACAGGAAGCAGTCCTAWTCCTCCAGATCTGTAGCTCCAGCAGGACCAAGCTTTCCTTCAGGCATGGGCTTAAAGGGTCAAAAGAACTGGAATATTAAGATATTGAAGGTCCCCTGCCTTCCTCTTCATATCAAAGTTCACTGTGGAAAAAAAATTGCATGGCAGGGGCAATCCAAAACAACAGTTTATATTCCAGTATGCAGCTGATGATTGTAG